TGGGAGCAGGACTTGGGAGGAATCCCTGTGAGATCAGAGCCAGAAGGGCCTGGTTCTGCACTGGCAATGGGATGGCCAGGACCCTGGGGCAGATAGAGAGCACCAGCTCCCCCTGCCCTTCTTCCAGTGCCTCCGTCCTGGCTCAGGGCTCTGTTGCTTCCAGGGCTCCACAGTGTGAGAGAAAAAACTGGGCACTGCCACCCTGCCCAGATCTTTCATGGGCGTAGCCCCACGGACAGGTGCTGTGACCCCCAAAACCTGTCCTGGGAACTCCCCCTCCACAGGCAAAACAACAGAGTGGAACGAGGACACTGCCTACAACAAGGAGCCATACCCTGTTGCCTGGTTTCCTAGATGAACAGTTCCACTCCATGCCCAGCCAGGCCTGCCTGGCACAGCCTGCAGGGCCTAGGAGGACCATGCTCAGTGACCCATCTCTTGAGAGCAGGGACAAGCCTCCTTGCATAGGCCACCTGCAGGATTCTGATGTGCTGGGGGCTGGTAATGGAGCTATCCTGCATACCCTGCGCTGCCCTGGTCCACAAGGGGCCTAGTCAGTGCTAGCTGTGCTGGGGTTTTGTCAGGTGGACATCAGGCTCACTGAGAACTGGCCCGAGACCCTGTCAAAATCATCGCATCTAAAGGGGCCAAGTTAGCGGTTGACCCCAGCTTCACAAAACCCTCCCTGCCCAACAAGGCAACTAGGGCTGCAGCTGGCTCCCCTGGCCTGGCCCTGCCCCCTCTTCTGTGGAAAGTGATGGGAGTGTGATCCGTGGCTTCATAGGGTAGAGGAGAAAAACTCCCACCAGGAAGTATTCTTTAAAAAACAACAACCACCCCCCCCAGCTTTGGAAAACTAGTATCAAAAGTCCTTAAAAAATCCCTGCCTATTGCAACAGTGAGAACAGCAGGGTTTAGCCAGAGGACGGGGAGGTGGGAGTGTTGGCAGAGGGATCTGCCTGCCAAGACTGCAACAGCAACTTTGTAAGACCAGGAAGAATGGATCAGTACGTGGGCATGAGGGGCAGGGGGCAAACAAGCCACTCTAGTTGTCCCTGACCCACCAGGCACTCCTACAGCCTTTTAGGAGCTTGGGTTGTGGACCCAGCCATGGCAGGCACTGAGCTGGAGCTACACCTATGCAACAAGATATAGCTAGGCTGACCTGATACCTCAGCCCTGTGCTGATTGATGTCTTTCACCTGAGCCTGGGGTTGCTGGCAGGAAGAGCAACCTGGAGGGGGCAGTCACGGTGAGGGAGGCTACAGAGGGGCCTGATTCAGCCCCATGCTCAGCTGCCAGGATCCTGCCTTCTGCCTCAACTAGAGCAGCATTTCTCAACCCATGGGTCACAACCATATATGAAAGGGTTATGAACAAACTTTAAAAATGGATTCTCCTTTAAAGGAAAAAAACATGGGAAGTTGTGGCTTTTCCTTTGCAGACTGGCAGAGTTGTAGCCTGCAACGGGGTTCCTTGGGGCCCCCCATACCTCCCACCCCACACACTGAGGGGCTGGGGAGCAATGGGTTGGAAGTGAGGGGCACTGGGTCTAACCTGGCCATTGATGTTTACAAATGGGTTCTAGTACAAAAAGGGTTAAGAACCATTGAGCTAGAGGCATCGCTGCCTTCCACCCCTTTTCTCTCCCTACGGAGCTAGACAGAGGCTGGTGTCCAACCTGGCCTGAAATCACCCCATTAACATCAGGACTTCATCAATGATTTAGGCCCCACATGAGGGTTGGTCACATGCCACTAGGCATTTCTCTCCCCATTCTCACATTTTTTTCAAATGTGATTTTGCTGAGCAATGAGTCCTTCCCTCCGCCATCCCTGGAGCTGGACTTGACCTGTGATCCAGGCAGCCCCCCACCCCTCAGTGATAAGCAAGAGGAGATGGAGATAATGGAGGCCTGTGGTGAGGTCAGGTGTGACCCCATCCACACATTCACCTAAATGCCCAGGTGCCACAATCCAGTTGCAACAGTCCAGATGCATTTAAATACATTTGCAAGGCTAAGGGCTAACCAAAGGACTGATGGCATGCACTATCATGCAGCAGGGAGACAGACTCATTCAAGGGTGCTGCATTTGGGCAGTAGTAACCAGCAGCACACTTAGAAGATGGGAAACTCCCTTCTTGAGAGCACGGAGGCAGAAAGGGATCTTGGAGTCATCATTGACTCCAAGATGAACATGGGCCGACAATGCGAGGTCACGGTCGGCAGGGCTAACCAGACCCTATCGTGCATCCACAGGTGCATCTCAAGTAGGGCCAAGGAGGTGATCCTCCCCCTCTATGCGGCACTGGTCAGGCCACAGCTGGAGTACTGTGTCCAGTTCTGGGCACCCCACTTCAAGAGGGATGTGGACAACATTGAGACGGTCCAGAGGAGGGCCACCCGCATGATCCGGGGACAGCAGGGCAGACCCTACAATGAGAGGCTACGGGACCTGAACCTGTTCAGCCTTCACAAGAGAAGGCTGAGGGGGGACCTGGTGACCATCTATAAACTCACTAGGGGGGACCAGAAGGGTTTGGGGGAGACCTTGTTTCCCCAAGCGCCCCCCGGGATAACAAGGAATAATGGCCACAAGTTGTTGGAGAGTAGGTTTAGATTGGACATCCGTAAGAACTACTTCACAGTTAGGGCGGCTAGGATCTGGAACCAACTTCCAAGGGAAGTGGTGCTGGCTCCTACCCTGGGGTTCTTTAAGAAGCAGCTCGATGCCTACCTGGCTGGGGTTGTTTGAGCCCAGTTTTCCTCTTGCCCAGGCAGGGGGTCGGACTTGAAGATCTACAAGGTCCCTTCCGACCCTACTTCTTTCTATGAATACAATAAACTATGAATACTATGACAAATGGCCAACACAGGTGCAGGACTGGGAGAGCTGGGGACAGGAGGAGTCGTAACCCTCTCTTTGCCAAGTCATCTAAATCAGCATGGGCAGCAACTGCTTTTCTCAGGCTATATCCATGCATTAGAACAGCCGTCCTCTCAACCAGCACTAGCAGAGCAGCATGCATTTCCTGCCAGCAGCCAAAGGCATTCAAGCAGATGTATTTGGTTTACTGTGATTCACTTGCCCCTGCCTCTTTGTGCTCCAGGGTACATACAGGTACCCTGGACCCTGCTTTCACCTGTCCATTCAGGTGCAGGGGCTGCATTAAGGAACCATCCCCCTCTCCCCTCCACTGCTGCAGGTCTACTCAGCTCCTACATATGGGGCTGGACCCCTCCCATCTGGTCAACCAATGCCAGGAACCATAGAGCTCCTTGTGCCAAAAAACAGTAGTCAGGGGCTGCACTCAGAGACAGAGGCTCTGGGAGCTGCTTCCCACTGAGGTCACAGTCACCTGTGAATGGGCCCATGGTACCTTGAGGAATCTGCTCTGCCTTCCCGTACCCACAGATCTGCAGCTGTCACTGGTGAGTGCAAGGAGATGGGCAACCCAGAACTGGACTCAGCCAGCTCCTGCATTCACAGGGGACCTCTCTCTTGGGAAGCCCACTTATGCAGGCTGTGCTGAACCCTGCATGCCCCCACGCAATACTGCCCCACCCCCCACACTTAGATCAGATCAACTCCTTTCCTCCTGCCACTGCAGGGACACTGGGCCCAGCTCTTACCTCACCTGAACCCATGAAAATCAGATGTAACTTCAGTGACGTCTGTGGGGATGAAATCAGGCGTGTTGGTTACCAGGGAGAGAAATGGGTGCTGCTGGACCCAGAGCTGCTCAGCCAGCATTAGGAGTTGATCAGCTAGCACCAACCAGTGAACACAGCTGGGTTGCAGAGGCAGAGCAAGCTCTGGCCTGACTGCCTTCCAACCCTTGGTCCCTCACTTGAGTTACAACCAGGGTTTGAATTACACTTTGACTCTTGGGGGGGTGTCTGCAAAAAAAATTAAACCGGTTCGTTGATTAACAAGCCCACCAAAGTAAAAAAGCAATCTGATCAAGACCCCCCAAGTTATGATTTTCAAATCTTACAGGGGAGCTCTTGTCTCTTATGGGTGGGCTCAGCCCCCCCCCCCCCCCCCCCCCCCAAATGCCCCCTTGATTCACACCCTGGTCACAACCAGAAGTTCTGGGGCATTAGGGCTGAGAGTCAAGTGTGGGGCTTGAAGCAGCCTTGTCCCCATTTCCCAGGGACTGCTATTTCAATGCAGGACCTGACTAGCTGCATTTGCTACCCTACTGCACCTGCAAGCCAGCCTTGAGGAACCAGTGCAGCAGAAACCAAGTCTGCCCCTGTGGGGGGCAGCTCTGGGCTGGGTAATATCCTCCTCATGGCCTTGACAGCTGAAGGCCCAGGTCAAGTCCCTTTGCAGGTGCTAGCAAACCTGGCTGCACTGCAGGAGCATTGGGCAGTAGAGCATTCTAGTTCAAGAGGGTTGCAGGCTCAGAGTTGGCAGAACAGGAAGGGGGTTTCTAAGTGTGGGTGAACTGAGAGAGGTCAGGAGGGGGAAGATGCTCGTGCCCAGCAAGCCTGCAGCCTCCCTCTCTGTATCCAGAGGGGAGACCCCTCCCTGGGCACAAGGAACTGCAGCCAGCCACAACAGAAGTGGGCACCCCTTCCAGGCACTTCAGACTCAGAGGGAGATGCACTTGCTTGTGTCAGCACTGAATTGGGTCATTTCTGTACAAGCTGGGAGATGCTGGGTCCCAGCATGCACTGCTCTACTGCGATAAGGACACTCAGAGCTACACACATTGTCATGGATGACACCCCTCCACCAGGAGCTTGAGCTTCTACAGCTCATGCTGAAAGAGGATGTCATCTTTAGTCAGGAGCTGCAGCAGCAGGGTCAAGAACAAAGCAGGGCATGGACTACAGACCACATAGGGCAGGGTAGGGAGAGTTACCACTGCCCACTGGGACACGTAGTCTCCATCCAGGAGCCACTGATGTGGACTGAGGTTAAGGGTTCTGCAGCAGCCTGCAGGGCTAGCTGCAGGTATAGGTCTAACCTCCAGGGCCCCATAGGGAAGCTTACACATGCCCTGAACATGCAGGCCCTGAAGAAGCTAATCCCAAGAGTCACATATGCTGGTCATACCCATATTTCAGCTCCTGAAACCCGAGCCTGATAACCAAACCAAGCAGGACAGATGCAAGGGAGAGGGGAAGATTCCAGGATGAGTGCTAGGAGGATGAGGACCCAGGCTTGCTGAAAAAACAGACCCCAGTGCAACTGCAGGGATTTCAGCAGAGTCCAACAGAGCACAGTCAGAGAACATACCTGAAACATTGCTTTCCCAGCATCACTGCCCTCTGTCAGCATCACTCAGGTCCTAAGCAGGCTGCTTCCTCTGCAAACAGTGCCAGAACCCTTTGCTGCCGGCACCTGTGGGGCCGTCAGCGCAGGGTGAGAGGAGTTCATCCTGTTTAATTAACAGAGCTACATTCTCTAGTGTGGCGTCAAACCTCGCAGAGCTGGCCACTGCGTGGAGGGTGAGTGGGGAGCAGACATCTCAGGCTCCAAAGCCAGGAGAGCAGGGAGGTGCCTGGCCATGCAGATGACCCAGGGTGGTCCTGGGGAACCAGGCTTGTGCTTAGATCCTTGGAGGAGTTCTAAGGCTCTGGAATAAATTCCTCTTCCCAAAGGTAAAAAAAAAAAAGCCATCTAATAGAAAACTAGTCTGCTCAGCAAAGGAGGGGCTGAGACCAGGTTACTGGAGTTGGAAGCTACCCGGGAAGCCAGGCTGAGTGCAGGCTGGGAGGGTTCTCCCTTCCCCTACCCAACTCTTGCAGTGAAATCTGCAAATATGAGGAAAACCCGCCATTTGCAAACCAATGGTGTCGGTCATCAGCCACCGGCTGGGCCCAGCCTCCTTCCATCCATCGCAGTCTCCATGGCAACAACGGAGGCCAGTGATGGAGGGCACCCACGGTGGGTTGCAGCAGCAGGACTTGGGGGGGCCGTGGTGTCAGTGGAAGCTTTCCGAGCTGGACCTGAGGTGGAAGTACGAGGGTGGGTGACTCTGAGCCGAGCAGCAGGGGAAGGCCTGGATGGATCCAGAGGAAGGTGCGGTGAGGGAGCACAGCGTTGGAGAGCCCAGCTGCAATGGGACACAGGTGGGCAACTGGGCACGCTGCACTTCTGTCTGTGAGAAGCAGGCCCTCTCTGTGTCCGACAATGGGAGTGGGGGGTGGTAAGAGGGGCTGCAGGGGACATGGGGTAAGTCTCTCTGAGCAGGGGACCCCTCGCCCTGTGGGCTAGTGTCTTGGGGGCTCCTGAAGCTGGGGAGCTTGGCAGAGGCGGTGTTGGGAGAAGCTCCCCCGCTTGCAGGTGATAGCGGCACCATGATGGACACATGAGCCAAAGGTGGAACAGGTGACTGCTCGCTTCCACCACTGGGGTCCGGAGAGGAGAGGCTGTGGAGGCTGTAAGGGCAGGCCAGGGTGGGGCCGCACAGCGGCTGGGCGCCCAGCTGGGTCTGCAGGAGGTGCATCATGTGTTGCAGCTCTCGGCTGAGGTGGGACACTTCCCGGTTGAGGTTACTGATCTGGAAAGGGAGAAGGGGGACAGACTGTGAGGAGCAGTGGGACAAGCCCTGAGCACCAAGTGCCACTGTTCCTCCTGCACTCTATGCCCATCCCCTGCCCCTGCTCCCCCACTGCCTCTGCCCCCATATCAGATCAACCACCTGCATGACCCACACCCCTTGGCTGGCTACAGCCTGGCTTCCAAAGCAGCAAAGGATTCTGGGATAGAGATGTTGGTTTGGATTGGGACTGATCCAGACTGCAGCTAGAGAAAAGTGGGTCAGGATGGGCTGTGTTGCTGTAGTGCCTTCTCTGATAGGACAGCCTGCTCAGTGCATGCCTGTAGCCCAGCCCTGAGCCCAGCCTCTTTTACTGTGCATGCTCACTTATACTCCCTGGTCAGGGTAACTCTGCTGCCATCTCTACCAGATGCAAGAGGTCTGCTATGTTTTCTGACTCTTGCACCCCACTAACCATGCAGCCCTGGCCACAACCTTGTCTGCTGCTGCTGCTGCAGAAAGGAAAGCTGAAGCAGAGGGAGCATGTGGCCTTTAGTTATGGTAGGTCCTATAAAAACATGTGGTGGCCACAGAGGTTTCTTGTCTGTGTCTGTCTGCAAGGGCGGTCGCTTTGACCCACATATTAGCTCTCAGATACTGCTTAATAGCCCAGCTCATTAGTAGTAACTGCAATCAGGCCAGGGTCTCTGGAGAACTGCTGTTTACCATGAAGGCTGGCTGGGGAGGAGGGGAATGCCCAGGAGGCAGGGTCACAGATGCAACAGCTTTGCAATGAGCTGAGGGCGCGTTCACACCTGTAACCCAGACCCACTCCACTGTGAGCTTCCACACATGGCACCCAAGAGCTGAGGCCCTATGACACATGAGGATGCTACGGGAGGAAGACTGGACTGCGAGAGAGTCCCGTCACATGGGGGATCCAGACAGCAAGCTCTCTAGCCAGAATCAGGGTCGGCAAAGGATGTTGCTGAAATCCTTGTGTAAGACCAGCACTGAGCCACCCTGGTGCAGCTTGAACTCGCGGCAGGGCTATGCCTGGACTGTGGATACTGCAAAACCCCCGCTGTCGCTCCCTATGGGCTGCATCTATGGATCTGTCTCAGGATATGGGACACAGGTATGGACCTGCTGGGCACATGCAAGCGTAGCATATCCCAGGCCTAGGCACAGAGCCCAGGGGGAGGCTGAAGCAGAGTCTAGGGAGGAAGAGCTCTGCAAGAGCTGTACTAGCTGCTATGAAAAGAAACCCTGCCAAAACAGGCAGTGCTAATTTTAAGCCCAGGTCACCCGAGTCAGAAGCACAGATGCTGAGTAGCCATGGCTGCACAGTCCAGAGTGGCCTTTGGGCTGGTTCAGGCAGATGCCACATTAGGATCAATCAAGTCTGGCTGGGGCTGCTGTACTTTTCAAATCAGCAATGTTCAAGGAGCCTCTCTCAGGATGGACCCAGCCTTGGGAGCAACACAAGGGAAGACACCATACAACACTTGACATACAAGCCCCCCAGTTGCCAAGTGCCCCTTTGTACCTCTTGGTTCAGTCTCTGGACGTTCTGCTTTATCTCCTCTGCTTCTGCTGCTAAGGCTTGCTCTGTCCCTGCAAGGAAGCCCAAGGAAAATCTTGGAGGAGGACAGAGCATGCTCTGATAGGCCCTCTACAGCTTGCAGCTCACACCGGGGCCCAGCCCCAGCCCTCCCTAGCAATGCCCCATGTCCCAGAATCGGGATGGACTGGTCCCCACTCTGCCCCACCCAACTAGGTCTCACTTGGGGACCAAACCACAATGGTGCAGGTGTGGGGGAGGGGTGTTGCTTTAAGCTGCTGGGCTCTGTCCAAAGCGAGAGCAGAGTGGTGCCAGGAGCTGTTCCCCTGGGATTCCCCCCACCACCATGAGCCAGCCCTGTGCCAGCCCATGCCAACACCATGCCAGCCCCTCCTCCCTGGTGCCTAGGCCAGTTCTGCAAGAGATTTTTCTCAATGCAAATGACTAAGCCTCATGATCCCTGGGGTGGAGGGAGGTGGCCCTGCATTCATGGTACTGCTTCACAGTGACTTGCCCCAGGTCAGTGTGAGTCAGAGCCATGGAGAGAACCCAGGAGTCCCGCCTCCCATGCTTTAACCACACAAACCACCTCCCCTCCAACTCTGGGAATAACTGCTTCCCCAGACCCACAGGAAACATTCACTCTTTTATGTCCAACAATTTCTCCAGAGACAGAGAGCTGTCTAAACCAGCTGGCCCCCGTGGCCTGGAGCCTCTGACCCCAGATCCCAGACAGTGTGGGGGCGTGACGGTGTGGGCACTCAGGTACCTGACAAGGGTGAATCTGTGGTCGAGCTCGGCAGGGGCAGGTCCACATTGAAATGGAAGGCTTGCGTCTCTGATGTCCCACCATCATCTTCAATCCCGTCAACAACTCTAGGGAGGAGGGGAGGCTTGAGCCTAGGCAGCAGGTGAGGACCCCGAGTGAGGCCCCTGACTGGCAAAGCATATCTGAGCACCCTCACCACCTGGCCACGTGGCTACATGGTGGCAGTGGAAATATCTATCACAACAAAGACATCACCCCCTGTGAACTCACTGCTTCACAGGGTCTGTACCTTCCTGCCCAGGTCCTACTGCTCTGTTGCCCCTTGACAGCTGGTATGAAAGGAGCCATCACGTCTCTTCCTTCAGATTGGGGCTGAGCAAATGTTGACGATCTCATCCCTGCTCTTGGCACTACCTGCTGCTTCTTCCCTGATGGCAGCATCACTGGAAATGCTGGGGCTGGATGGGGAAGGAGACTGATCCACACTCTCTTCTCCAGAGCAGGAGCATCCAGCTCGAGGTTTGGTGCCCCAGACATGGGGAAGGGTGCATAGGGGGCCCTGTGTGTACGTGGGCACAAGTGCACTACCCGACTGCCCCAGGAGATGCACTGAGACTTGTTTATCCAGGGCTCTTGCCCCAGCACCTTGAACTGACCCTGTTTCAGCCAAATGCAAGAATGTCCTGGTCTGGGGATAAAGTGAGGCAAGGATCCAGGCTCTAGTGGGGGAACAGCAGAGGAGGGTTGTGGGGCCCTGCTCAGCTCCATGATGTACTGATGCTTACCAGCACCTCTAACCCTGCTTTGCCTCTCCTGCCTTGGCACCTGCCTGCCACAGCTGCCCAAGTGCCCCTGGGCCCAAGCACTCTCTGATCTTCTCAAGTCAATACAGCACCTCCTGAGAGCCTGCAGCAAGGACACACAGGCAGGGGCAGAGCTATGGGATTGTGGCCTCCCTGCTTGGCAGCTGGCAAGTAGCTGGGCAAGGGTCAGAGTCAGAACCTCAGCAGTATTTCTGCTGCTGAGGTATGAAGTCTGGAGACATCCAAGCTCTCTGGCTGCTGGCCTCCCCACATAGACATGAGATAAGCACCCACATACATTTGGCCCGGGGGGGGGGGCAAAGTACGACCCGCCCCCTGTGTGCGGGGGGGGGGGGGGGGGGGGGCAGGTAGTCAAGTCCCTGTGAATCCAGTGAGCCTGGCTCTGGGGACACAGCTGATCCCAATCACTCTTCTGAGCTGACCCCACATTCTAGGGCTGCAATTTTCCAATCACAGGCACACAGATGACAGGTGAAATGCACATGACCCCATGGGGAGAGCAGCATGCCCAGTTTGGCAAGCAAATGGTGCAAAAGATAGATTATTCCAGGCAGAAGCAGGGATCAAAGATACACCAGCTGGGTAAGGGACAGTGACAATGCAGGCCACTTGCATACAAGCAGTTCCAGCCTCTCCAGCACAAGCAAACATGCAGGTAGACTCAAGCATGAAAATGAGGTCACCCCTGCAGACATGCACGCACACGTGTGTGTGTTCCAATATGCATCTCAGAGCATAGACATGTGCACATGCCACTACATACAAAAGCATATGACAGCATGCTCCTTAGTCTGTCTTGAGGCCAGTCATGTGGCTGCAGCCCTCACAGACCATAGCCCTTCCATCACCTCCCACCTTTACCTGGGGCTGAGGTCCGGGGGGCCATAGGTGTTCAGGGAGGGGATCAGCAGCTTGGCTGGCTTCCGGCCATTGCTGCTCTCACTCTCTGAGGGCCGGTTGCCTCTCCGGCACTGCGGGGAGGGGCTCCTGCCCCTGGTACAGTGGGCAGGGGAGCGGCAGGTACGCCGCAGAGCTGAGAACTGCCGCAGGTCGTCACCTAGCAGGCTGCTGAGGGATCCACGGCGCACGGGACTATTAAGGTTGGGCAGCAGCAGCTTCCGGCGCGTGATGGTGGCTGGTGAGGGGTGGAAGAAGTCATCGGGCTCCTCTTCGTCCTCGTGGATGGATGGAAGGGGCTTCTCAGGGGTGTTCCCACTCTCTGAGCGAGGCTGCAGGGACAGGAAGGGAGCCAAATGTCGTGGTAGGTGCAAAGAAAAGAAACTGAGATCCAGGGATAGCAAGGCAGGACACCTTCAGCCTGGCACTGGCTTAGGCCCTCCAGAGGGCTGCTAGATCTCACCCTAGTGACAAGCACCCTGGGGGTTGTGGTTTCTTTCTAGGGCAGGACAGTCTCTCAGGGACACCTTTATCTCAGCTTGGCCCAGTTCAACCAGGAAGCAACCTGATCTACTGCTCCAAAGAGCTTTGCATAGAGTGAGGCCCTGTCAGTACAGGAGGGCAAGGCAGCCCCTATGCACTTAGCCCTGGCTCCAGACAGCAGCACTGAAGCCTAGGGACAGTTTCTGGATATCAGAACAACCTCTGCACACCTGGGGGATCTGCATGCATGTATGCAGGGGTCACTTCTCCTGGTTCACTTGTGTTCCAAAAAGCCCTTGCCACCCACTGGGATGCCCAAGCTACAAACCTGAGACAGCCTGGGGCAGCCCCCCTCCCTGCACACAGCACAGACCCCAATTACCTGGGACAGCCGAGGGGATCTGGAGTATCGGAGGAGCCCCTGTAGAGAAAGCAGAAGGCAAAGGCTAGCTAGCCACACCTGGCACCCTCCAGCGCACCAGCACCCAGGGTCCGTGCCTGTGGCCAAAAGCCACCAGGCAAATCCTCACGAGGACACTGAGCAACCATCCACACAAGGTGTCGGGGACCCTCCTGCTTTCAGGAGAGAATTTTCCTCACCAGCAGCCTGGGGTACATTACAGAGTTACGTGGGTGGAGTAGAGCTCCCATTCTCCTACAGCTGTAGGGTTGGGGGAACGAGGGGAGGGGGCTCTGAGGACATTTCCTCTGCAACTTCGGTCAGGTTCTACCCTCCAAGATACACAAAATGAGTTACCCCTTATTCCTCCTTTTCTCCTATTTTTATTATGAGCAGGACCTCAATGCTGCGTGCTCCAGCCCAGAACCTGCTTCTGGGTCACGGTCAAAGCAGGAAAGAAGCTATTTTCTCGTCCTAGTTTAGCTCCCACTGAGACATCACTGTGATCACTTGTAAAGATAGACCCCACCATGGGCCAGACTCTCAGGAGCAGCAGGTGCTTCCAAAGCAGATCCCAGCTCTGCTGGGCCAGCAGGCTAGCTGCTGAACTCTCAGCTCCACCCCATCCCAATCCTGCTGCCCTCTCTTTGCTTTAGCTCTGTAGCCCATTAATTATACAATGTCAAAAAACAGTTATCAAGGCATGGCCGGCAGTGCCCCAAGAGTAAGGTTTGCCAGTTAACCAGCAGAGGGTGCACACAACCAGGAGTTTTGGTAGGTCCTGCATAAACACTGGGCATTCTTTATATGCATTTACAAATTTCTCTAGGCTAGATATTTTTGAACAAGGAAGTGAGACTCTAGGAGGAAGCTTCTCCAATTAGCTCTAGAAACAGCTCGATCTGTATTCTCCAGCTAGGCACGCTGGGAGCCAGCATGGAAGCACTGTTGTACAAAATCCCCAGCACTTATTTATTTCAGAAGGCACAGAGTAGGCAAACAGAAAGGGGAGGATGAACAACGCACTGCTATTTCTGAAGCAGAACGTTCCCGCCTGATGGCAGGAGTCAGCAGAATGACTAAACTAACCAACCCTTTTCCCCCTCCCCACCGGGTGGGGGAGACATGCCAGGCATGGAGGGCTGGTGCCCAGGCACAGTGCTCTCTTAGGGTGCCCCTGGCAGAAACAGCTCATGCTTCGTCCTCACAACTTAGGGTGCCCCTGGCAGAAACAGCTCATGCTTCCTTCTCACAACTGGGCAGCAGCAGCAGCTGCCCAGCCCCTGCCACCCCCCAAAAACTGTGGACTCGACACTTTCCCCTTTGCTTTTCGCTAAGAAGATTAAATTGGTTAATAATTCAAAGCCTCTTGCCTGCAAGATCCTTGTCCTGCTCCCAGCTAGCTTTGCTGGCAGAGACTCCAGCACTGCTAGCATCTTTGTGATGGATGGATGGTTGAGAGGGAGGAATAATGTCCCGCAGTACAGCGGGAGGGACCTGCACAGGCAAGGGGCAGAGCAGAGCTACTGGGCTGCTGAATTTCCCCATGAGAGCTAGGGGAAATGTGCCTGCTGGGCTGTGATGGGACAGCCACCTGCTGGGTGGCCACATGTGCTACCAATGCCCAGGTACCATGCTGAGTACAGCTGGCACTCCCTACTGCTTCAGTGACTTCATCCACCCACACAGGACAAGTTCATGCCCAAGGAACTTGTGGTACGCAGGCTGGGACAGGGAGCCTGGGCCATCAGGCCAAGGTCACCCTGCAGCTGTTAGATGGTGCAGAGGTGAGACTGGCAACCTGGGATGGGGGGTGAGGTTGAAAAGTCAGTGGCTTGTCTGCAGGCAAGGAGCATGCAGCAGATGCAGGAGGCGGTAAGTTCTGTGCTAGGAGTTTGCAGACATGCAGTAGCTCCCTGTAGACAAGAGCCTTGAGAGCTCACCAGTGTCATGAGTCTCCCACCCTTGTTATGGGGGAGGGGAGGGACAAGAGGGCTGGACAGGGTTTGCACCCACCTCTGCCTCACTGCCCTCCCGCAGGTTGAAGGTCAGGTCCTGCTGGATGTCAGCCATGAACTTGCTGGAGTACTCAGGGTATAGCTCTAGCACCTCAAAAAGGCCACGCAAGCTGATGTACTGAAGGTCACAGTAGGTCAGCGCCTTGACATCCGCGTTGGTTTTGATCACCTGCTCCTTGCTGGGCAGGTCTGCCCCAATCAAGTCCCCTTTCCCTGAGGGAGAAGGGACAGGCTTCCTCAGTCAGGGCCTGGTGATGGAAAGAGCCCTAGGTTGCCCAGAGCCCATACAGCTGAGTTTCCTCATAGCTCCAGGGAACAGCAAGCCCCATTGCTCAGATGGGGAGGGGAAACTGGCCTAGGCTTAGCTGGGAACAGGGCCCAGTGGGTGGGAAACCAGCCACAAAAGACAGAAAAGGACTGATGCAGTGCAGGGTTTGCCTCAGGACCACAGGAGCAAGCTGGCAGCCTGGCATGGGCACAGTTTGCTCTCACCCTGGGGAATCCTGCTTCCTCCACCATTGGGGGGGCAGGCAGAGGAGGGGGAAAGAGAGAAACCCAATTTGCCCCATTTTGGGCACTGCCTCCTCTCTCCAGGGCCTACTGCCACCTGCTGCCTAGTGAGACAAAAGAATGCTCTGGCACACCTATTTCCCTGCCTTTCCACCATGCCATTGGCCTCACCCAGGATGGCCAGCACCATGTTGTCCTTCAGGACCTCGAGGGAGCCAGAGCAGACAAAGTAGTTGGCCTGCAGAGCATCACCCTGGCGTAGCAGGTACTCGCCCGGAGCGCAGAAGGAGGTCTTGATGTGCAGAGAGAGGGCACGCAGGCAGCCTCGGCTGGCTGCCTCGAAGAGTGGTAATTGCAGGATGTCCTTGTTGAGGTGCATGGCGATGTCAGCCCGTAGCTCGTCAGGAAAATCGCGCAGCAGCTGTTGGGAAGGGGAGAAGCTCAGAGCATTGGCAGGGAGACAGCGCGTGCCTGTCCCTGGGCCTCTCACTACCACGGACACTTGAGCCAATGCCCAGGGCACTGGGCAAAGTGGCCTCTCTGTTGCAGGAGATGCCATCACCCAGTATACTGGAGATGCCCAGGAGATACTGACCTCCCCTCATGCGTGCTCCCAGGGACCAGGCACCTCCAGCACAATCAACCAGACAAGGTTCGGGCAGCAGGTCAAGAGTGGCTTTCACGACACTGCATGCCCCGGCCTCCAGTGGTGAGGACCACAGGGCCTGCCTGGTTGGGAAGATGGGGGGAGGGGAGGGGGCAGGAGAAACCCCAGTCTCTCCCATCCTGCCCTTATCTCTGCCTGTGAGCTGGACCCTGGTGCCAGGCAGCCCCTGGTGGGTGCATGAAAGGGTTTTGTGTCTGCAGATAAGGTGGCAACACAAGGGACTCTTGTTTAAAGCAATGGACCTGCTGGTCAAGATTATCCCAGCAATGACACATGCATACACCACCCCCCACATGCACACACAGCGCTTGGCAGCCCCTGGCTTTGCACTGCACTTTGTACTTCTGCTTTAATGCTCCCTGGCTTCCCTCACCAGGCCCCTGCCTCCCTTTTGCAGGCATGGCTGCACCTTCCTGTTCCCCACCCTGCTGGGCCCCTGGGATCAAAGCCTCCCATAGCTCAGTGTTGGAGCAGAGCCCTTGCAGGTGTGGCCCCAGAGCTGCTGGGAGACAGGCTGAGTCATGGGAGAGGCAAAAACTGAGTCCTCCAGGCCCCTGGCCCCATTGGGGGTGGTGGGGGGCTTCTGTGTGTCCCAGCACTGACTCTCCCTTGGCAAACAAGGAGAAACCTCCCCCAGGCAGGTGCCCCACTGCGCAGCTCTCCACCACCTCCTCCCACATTGTAGGTCCAGGAATAGTACCCAGTTGTCCTGGCACTGACCCGTTGCTCTTTGTCACTCTTCCCCACCACCTGCATATGGCCTGAGCTGGTACAGGGACAGGTTTGTGGCTAGCATGGGACAGGGCTGTGAGGGGTGCGGAGGGAGAGAGGGGCACTGGAGAAGCCCACAGGCAGGACTGAGAGGCACCTGTGACTTGAGTGGCAGGGAAGGGCTTAGGGGATTTAGGAGCCTGGGGTTGGGCTTGTGCCTCTGGCTGCAGCCCAAGGCAGAGGCGATCACTGGGATTCACAACTAGGGCCAGCAAAGATAACCCCTCTCCACCCCCTCTTTCCTCAGGCTCTAGGTCCTAATAAGCTGATTTGGGTCCAGTTCAGATGGGCTCTGGATGGAAGCTCATGGGCTCCTGCTGCATGAGGAGGATGGTCCTTGCTGACATAGGCTCCCAGCTTACCTAGGGTGCTTGGCACAGCAGGCAGGGCCCTGCTTTCCCCTCAGAGGGGTAAATCTGGAGAAGAAGACCAGGCGCAGGAGGCTTATGGAGGGTTGTGCCAGAATCTGCCCTGCTGGCTTCATGACACCCTGCTCTGGAGCCCACAGGCAGGAAGCGCAAAGGCAGGGCCTAGCTGGCACAGCCCCAGCAGTACTTCCTACCTCATTGGCATCGATGCCGTTGTTCACTGACCAGGTGGTCTGGAAGTACTCCAGCATCCTCTGCTTCAGCTGCTGTGGGAGGCGATGGACACGGATGAAGTCCTTGAGGTCCTTCATGCGGGTGTGGTAGAGCGAGCGGCGTGAGTACATGCGCTGGATGATGGCTGTGACATTGCCAAACACCACAGCATGCATCAGCGCTGTGGAGAACAGGCAGGGGCAAGCGTCAATTCCACAGGCACGCGTTCTCCTAGCCGCACACCAAGGGACAGGGGCCCAGGGACCTGGGGGTGGGGCTGTCCTGCCCAGCTGCTGCTGAGAAAGGTGCAGGACACTCCATGGTGTCAGGATACCTTGTTCCCAGGGAAGATCCCCCCTTACCCTCATCAGCTAGAGGTCAGCTTCCAAGTGGGGCAGGGGCTCTGTCTCCCAGTGACTAACCCAGTTCCCACTGATCCTGATGCCCTGACAGCCAGCAAGTCAAAGATAAGACTATGCCCATCCTGTGGGAACCTGCTCTATGAACCCCACCCCAGCCCCATCACTCCATCTAACACTCTCAGCATGGGGAGAAATGACCCATCCCCCTGCCCCATTCACCCC